TAAGTTGATAATATAATGGGTTAGTAGTGGAGTCAAATTTTAATAAATTATATTATGTATATCTAATATTAAAAATGATATATGGAAAGTCATAGATAAGCGCTTATATAAAAGCATAAATATATATGATATTGTAAAATGTAAAATATTATCTAATATTTAAAATGTAAAAACTTCTAAGCCCTTAACTTGTAAAGGAAATAAGGAATTAGTGGAATATAGACATTTTTTTGTTCTCCTTGATATAAACCTTCCAACAATCCAAATAATAATGATGATGGAGAGAAAATGAGAGTAAAAAAATAGTTTAAGAAGATATGGTTAATAAAATTATATTAGTTAATAAAGATTTATAGGATTGAAATATATACTACTTATCATAAATAGTATTTGATATTTAAAAATTATTTATTAAATATAAAATTTTTTCGTATTTCAATAAATTTAATAATATAAGTTGACATTATATTCTTAAAAATTTAAAAGAATTAACTAATAATAAATTAATATTTATACATAGAGTTTTTGTTAATAATTATTCATAAGCGAATTATTTAATTTTTTTAAATAATACCGAACCAATCAACACACATTTGCTTTGGTTTTAATTAAAATAAAATTTAAGCAGGTTTAGTTAGTGTTTAAATAGAAGGGAGCAAATTCGAATTTAAAAGTAAAAATACGATTAAACCCATTCCACCTTTATATTAAAGTATTATATGTTTAAATTTTTTAATTAAAATTATGAAATTATTGCACACATTTTTTAAAAAAACCATTTGAATAGGTCTTTCAATCCTCCCCTTAACTTTAATGTATATGAACCCAAAACTCAAGCAAAGAAAATAATTCGAGGATTAAATTTAAATTTTATTATTTACAATTGAATTAAATTTAAATTTTAAAAAACTCGTTTCGAACTCAACTTATTATAATTATTTTTGAAATCATACACTTTATAGATGCGATTGGATTACTCAAATTTTTGTATACTATAAAACTACTTTATGAGTTCAATAATTTGGAGATTTTAAATATATTAACCAAAAATTAAAATAAGGCATGCACTTTGATTTACAAAGAGCAATTAGATAAAATACAAAAACAATTAATTCATAATTAAATGAAATTAAAACATTAAAATTTTATTTAAAAAACAAATATTAAGATTATAAGAACATGAGAAAAAAAATAGATTGCAATTCGAGATGGGTTGAATTTACACGATATGAAACGTAGAAAACAAAGAGTCAAACGTCAATGCAACTCACTCTGTGTCCCATGGCTTTCTACGGTGAGCAGCCGAAGTAAAACCAAACACAAAGCCGACGTGCGAAGGAGGATAAAGCGGAGAAGATGCTAAAAACGGCAGCGTAGAGCATCAGTGAGAGAGAGACTAAAGTCAGTGGGTGGTCAGGGAAAAGGAAACGAGTGGAGTTGCAGAAAGATTTCTGCAGACGCACCACCCACCAACATGAAAAACACAGCTGTTGAGTAGAGAGAGAAACAAAGCATGTCTGCCATGGCGAAAGAAAGAGAGAGAAAGAGAGAGAATCTGACACACACTATAAAGACAAGTTCTGTCGCAGTGGACCAGCATTCTCTCGCTTTAATTCCTCTCTCCCCCACCAGTTAAAAATTAAAACCCCCCCTCTCTCCCTCCTTCTCTCTCTCTCTCTCTCTCTCTCTCTCTCTCTCTCATTGATTATATATATCTTAAGCAAAAACCCTTGTGGGTAATTTAAGATTTTGTCAATAGTCAAAGCACTGTTTTTAATCTGGGAACTTGATCAGGTTTTAGCAGGAAGATTCCAGGCAAAGTTAAGTCAAAAGTCTTCTTCTTCTTCTTCTTCTTTCTCTTTAAGACAAGTCACAGTGAGAATCAACGGTGGAGGGAGAGGGAGGAAGGAGATGGAGGAGGCAATAATAATTAGGAGCTGGACCAGGATGCAGGTCAAGACGGAGAACTAACATGACCTTGTCTCTTGATCTGAGAAAAGTTTTTCTTTACCCACCCATCTATATTTTTGGTTACTCAACAACCCACCTGTTGCTTAATCTCATAAAAATGGCTGCTTAGGAAACAAATCAAACCCTTTTGGTTTCTTTTTTACAATATCTGGTGCAGTTACAGCTCTTTCTCAAATCAAAGGTGAGTATAATTAGTGAACTCTGCTTTGGGAGGGTCTTTTATTTTTTGTGGGGCCTATGAGATTAAGCTGTTCTTATTAGTCCTTTATATATTTGTTTTATTTGTAAATCAACTGTTTATCACTTGGCTTACGTCTGAGTAATAGGGGATTTAAATTAGTGAAATGGGTTGGTGGATTTAGCACCAAAATGTCTAAATCATAATCAGAGAAAGGAAAGAGAGAGAGAGAGAGAGAGAGAGAGAGAGAGAGAGAGAGAGAGAGAGAGAGAGAGAGAGAGAGAATAATTCTGAGTTAGCTAGTGATTAGTTCTTTGGTTAAGTTGTTCTTTTTTCTGGGTTTGGAAAGATTAAGGGAATAAGGTTCATGGGCGCAAAAAAATTTATCACGATCAAGAAAATGATCATGATGGTCTGAAGAAGAAAGATTCATGGGTCATGTAAAGAGTTAGATCGAGTTTTTCTTTTCTTCTTGAAATTTCCGAAAAATCAGATTTTAATGGAAGTCAGAAGCCAGGATAAGCAGATGGGAATTCCTAGTTATAATTCTCCTGTTGCAGAAAGAAGAAGAGGAGATCATCATCATCATCATCATCATCATCATCCTGTTCATGGCGATTCAGTAGTCTTTCAACCTCATCAAACCCTAGATCATCATCACCATCATCTTCTCCGCCATGATCAACTGCAATACGTAAATCACCAGCAAATACATAACACACCCAGAAGAGATCCAGACCCAGAACCAGAATTAGATCCAGACCGAGTTCCAACAAGCTCACCAACAAGCAGCAAATCGAACCAAGATTCCCCCCCTCGAGCGCCGCAGAGACCCTCCCCAACTCCAGCCGCCATTGACAGTGCAGCTCCTGCTCCGGTGGTGGTTAAGTATCGAGAATGCCTGAAGAACCACGCGGCGAGCATGGGCGGTCACGTTGTGGATGGCTGCGGAGAGTTTATGCCCAGCGGCGAAGAGGGCTCGCTGGAATCTTTGAAATGCGCCGCCTGCGACTGCCACCGGAACTTCCACAGGAAAGAAATCGACGGCGAAACACCGAGAAGGAACAACACCATAATCCTACCTCCTCCTCATCTTCAACCTCATCAACTTCCTCAACTATACCATCATCGTCATCACCACAGATTAATCTCACAAGGTTTACTACCCAGTCCTTCGCTGCCGGCCGGCCCACTTCCTCCGATGATGATGAACTTCGGCGGTGGAGGCACTGCAGCCGAGTCCTCCAGCGAAGATCTAAACATGTTACAGTCTAATAATAACACAGTAGGAAAGACCTCCCGGTCGAAGAAGAGATTTAGAACGAAGTTCAGTCAAGAACAGAAGGACAAAATGTTGGAGTTCGCAGAGAAATTGGGGTGGAAGATACAGAAGCAAGACGAGAAGGAGGTGCAGCAATTTTGTTCGCAGGTGAACGTTACAAAACAGGTTTTCAAGGTATGGATGCACAACAATAAGCAAGTCGTGTTGAAGAAGAAGCAGATTATGTAAGGCTTTAATTTTTTTCTCCTTCATGTTAGTTCAGAGAAATTTTCTAGGAGTTAACTTAATGATGGGTAGATATTAGATGTTAATTATTTTCTTCTTGTATAACATCATATATTTATTAATTAGATTACATATATACACTAATTATAACACAATTTTTGATCCAAGTCTATAATCTCTTATAAAACAACAACTACCGAGTTAAGTAGTAATTGATTAATGACCTAACAAACACATGCATAAACCAAAATAGTTGCTTAGAGGAAGAAGAAAAGATTTGAGAGACTGGAACTGATCTTAGTATGAAGTATTCTTCTGAATTTTCTCAGTAATCTTTGTTATAACATCAACACATATGTATATGCATATTCCTTAATTCTATTTCTTCTGACAATAAAGTACAAATTCTATGATAATTATCATAACCCACAAGAATTTTTGCCCAAAAAAAAAAAAAAACATTTTTAGTTTAAAAAAATTAAATTTTAATTATGCAATAATTAGATATACTTATATATTTTTGTCGTGCTATAAGAACAAAAGATGACAAGAACTAGAAACAAACAATGTTAATGGAAAGGCAATAAGCAAGAAAGATGACATATTTTTTGAGTAATTTTTAGTATTTTATAATAATTTAGTAATTTTGTATATGTAATTATCTAATATTACATCGTAATTAAATTAAGTTACTATTAATTATAATGAGTTATTTATCTTTCTGACTATTTAATACTACATTGTATGCTGGTCTCTTGTACCAGCTATGATCTATCTCTTCGGCCCCTCCATTGTCACATACAAGATGGTATCTGGTTCCTAATCTTTAAAACCCTACCTCAGTATAGAAGAAATCTCTCAATACGTATAACTAGCCAGAGAAAATAGTTAGTGTTTTTTTTTTCTTTAAACCTATGTTAATTAAGTTAATTTTGTATCTTGTTGTAGTTATTATTAAGAAAAATTAATTGATTCAATTTAATTATCGTAATCTATCATTGCACTGATAAATTAAATTATTAATTCTATTAAATTAAATATTATAATAGATTATTATCAGTTCATAATACAATTAAAAAATTATAAATTTTATATTTTCAAATAACATTGAAACTCATAACTTACAACACAAATTTCTTGCGGGGCAAAAAAGCCAGCAGTAAAATCTGATGTTGAGACCTCAAGAAGGTAACTTAACTAAACCGACATGAAAATACTATTATTTCTTTGAAATTAAAGACATATATATGCATGTCTAGAGGGAGAACACATTTGCTGCAATATCTATATCTACATGCATGTTATATATAATGGAATCAAAGTTGCACATGGCAAACCAGTTTGAGTGAATCTCGTGTTTGAACGTTGACTGAAAATAGTCCCAAAAGTATGTTGCCTCTCCCGGCAAGGATATAGACTGAAGGAGACGTGCTAGAAGAAGATATCTCTCTCCCCCTATATATATATATACACATATGCCCATATATAGATATAAAAATGGTAAATTGATGAGGACATTGAGAAATGTTTTTAGTCCTTAATAAGGTACACAGTTACAATCCGGCCAGGGTTATAATTACAGAATTTTTTACTTATTTGAGAGAAGGGAGAAATTTCACTTTCATCCCGGGATTCTAAGAAGAAGCCTTGCAAAGTAAGTAACAAGATATATATGTAAAGAAGAAAAACATAAATCTAGAAATTTGGGCAAGTAAACAAGAAAATATGAAAATAATTAGGTTGTATCAGGCATTGCATTACCATTCTCTCAGAAAATTATGATGTGATTTTACGTACCCAGATTAATTTAACACTTAAAAACACTACCAGTCTGTCAGGAAGATTTTTGCATTTGCATTTGCATTTCAAAAACTTGAATACAATGTTTGGGATCCTAAAATTATTTCAGAGACAAACTATGAGAACAAGAAATTAACCATACAGATAACAAGAACTCACTGAAATAGCTTCATGCTGTTGAAAAATCTCGTTTAAAGCTCTCCGCCAGGGCGGCTTCTCATCTTCTCTCCTAATTTCCCGGCAGCCTCAGACGCCTTCTCCTTCGCAGCCTCGTAACTAGACCTGGTCGATCTGTAGGTCTCCTCCGCCATGTTTTTTGCATCATCATAAGTATTGGCAGCTCTATTTTGGGCATCATATGCCTTGTCCCTAGCAAAATTTGAAGCTTCATTGATTCTTTGCCTAGCTGCATCATAAGCATTGGCTGCTCCATCTTTCATCCTCTCTCTAGTTTCATCATATGCATTGCTTGCTCTATCTTTTCCATATTGCCAAGTTTCTGCTATTCTCTCTTTGGCATCACTAGCCTTCTCTGAAGCTTCTTTGCCATCACTGCCTGCTCTCTCTTTTCCATATTCCATTGCTTCATCTGCCTGCTCTCCGGAATCGCTATCTCTATCAATGGACATTCTAATGACATTTCCCGGCTCACCTGGATCAGATATGTCCATTCCGTCATGGTTGCCATGTTCTGGCTCATCTGGATTGGATAAGTCCCTTCTGTCACGGGCATTGTTCCTGGCATGTTCAGCCATTTGGGAAGCATAACCTGATCCCTCTGGAAGAATTAACACAAAATCCAGTCAAATGAATGGAAAGAATCCACACAATTGTCTGTCATCTGATATTATAAATTTTGGCAATAGAATAAACGCAGAGAAAATAAAGGAAGGAAGAATTAAGTCAGGATCATTATAATGAATTCTGAAAATTACAACTCATATGAACCTCCTACACTAGGATAGATGTCAGCAAATGACCGTTAACAACGGAAGAACCCTAAACCAGAGTCTCTTCCTTTGCCTGCTCAAAGATGCTAGTTAACATGGATATTTAATCTTGCAAAACGAGAGAGATAATCAAGTTACAACACTGTGCAGATAAGATCTTTGTTTAGTGCAATATAAAAGGGAAGGAACTGGATAAACAGGTACCTGATGCCGCTCTTCTCATCATCTGAAAAACTGCTTCTCTTGCCTCCTCTGGTTTATCTCCAAATTCTCTGATAGCACCATTGAAAGAAAGGTTGTCATCAGCCACATTATACAATAATATTTTGCAAGCCCTTGTCTTCTTCTTGATCAAACAAAATGCGAATTCATGCATCAAATTAGTTGAATAAGAATTAGGATTGATGTACTATAATCAAAATCATGTCGTAAGCCTGTAGCTCTGTAGGAGAGATTTTATCTTTTTCAGACGACTTCTTCTTTCAAAGTTCAACGGATGATTGTTATAGCTAGTATATTCTCCCTTGCTAGTTATAGCACATGCAGTGAATAGTCGCATAGCCAAGGTCAGATGGCTGAACAACGTTTTCCCTCATTGAAAATAATGGAAAATAATTTCTACGCGATTTGCAAATTAAGCAAAAGCAAACAGATCAAAGTATAAAAGAAGTGAATCTGATTCACAAAGGAAGAAAGCTGAAAAAATCCCGTAGTAATTCTCCCTCAAATTTCAATTACAGTACTCTATGAGATGTAACAGTAACACAGTTCCAAGAGTAAAATATGTAACATGTATACATGTACATATATGTATATATATATATATATAATACATATAGCGACTGCAGGCGAAAAACCAAAGTGCTGCCCGAAAAGTCACTCTTTAATCTTAAAAAGATAATGCAGATTACATCAATGAGACCCCAGAATAGAATCACTTGAAAATTATTTAGTTCATGGTGCGATAGATAGAAAATCGGTCGAAGTCTAAACTAAATTCATTCTCTATCATAACAAATTGAAGACGCCAAAGAAATCGATGGAAGTCTAACTAAACGATAATTCATTTCACTTACTCGGTGAACTTGTGATATGCCCACTCATACCAAGCGTCGAATCTCTCTGCATCTTCCTTGGCCTCTTGAGTTTTAAGTCTGGCTTCCTCCTCCGCCAGATTCCTCCCTTCTAAATCATGCTCTGCCCATCCCCAACACACCTCCGCCGATACCAACGCCGTGAGCACCACTATCATGAACACTCTTTTCTCCATATTTCGCCGTGGAAAAATTCAAACTCAAATTTAATAACGATCGAGAAACCGAGTGCAAATTCAATCGCTCTGATGAACAGACAGAAGCCTCAAGACCCTTCTTATAGTGCGGGAACTATCTCTGTCTGTTTTTTTTTTTTTTTTTTTTAACGGATAAAGTGCGTTTGGTGTTGCCACGTTGATTTAACGAGGGTTACGTGGAGGTTTAGGGAGAGGTGTACGGTGAAAGGTCGGTTTCTGGATTTGCAACACATGTCCGGGAGACAAGGACACGCGCCGGTGATTGGCCGCATATTTTGCGTCGCTTTGTACTGATGTATGGGTGCAGTTGGTCTCCGACTTTCTGACCCTGAATTGCAGGGAAGAAGAAGACGGAGAGTGAATCTTCTGCGGAAGTTTAGCGCCATTTATGGTTTTGAAAAATATGTTATTGCTTAGCGTCAATGGGGTTGAAGCGCCAAACTGATGTATTGCCGGGAGACATTTTAAGTACCCGGAAAATAAGATATTTATTTAATTTAAGTAATATTTATATAATTTAAAATATAGTATCTCATATTTAACTTTAAATTTCTTAATATATTAGTTTTTTTTTTTATTTTTTATGTTTATATTTATTTTAGATATTTTGAAAAATCTGTCAACGTTTGATGATACTAAACAATTTATTGATCTTAATTACGATTGACTAAAATGAATGGGATAAATATAAAACTTTTTTGTAATATAAAAGAGAAAAATATTTCAAAATATAAAGAATAAAGGTAATATAAACTAAATTATTTAAATTTTTAAATATTACATTATTATGTATTTATTATTTAAGATAAATTGCAGGATGAAACAGAATCATGTGTTTTCCCATTTGAAGGGGGGAAAACCCTATTGTTAAATCCCAATTGCCCTAATTTAGAATCCCAAAGAACACAATACCTAAATTGCCATCTCTTAAGAGTCAATCTAGAGATAACATCTACTTCATCAACCAAAGATATAAATCTAACATGACAAAATTTGAATGGTATAACCCAGCAGATAAGTGAATAAAGGGATAAAACAAAATTCCCGCAATACATCATGCTTCAATTAGAACCCTACTAATCAACCTACATTGACGGCCGGCTGACTGCCATCAGCAGCTAGTTTTACTCGCCGGTGATGTTCTGCAACTTTGTAATCTAAAATCTCTCTAAATAACTGGGAATCCAAAACACAGTCCGGGCGCCCATAAACTGCTGCTTGAATACCAGCCATAAGTTTCGCTATCTCACGGCCAGAGAACCCTTCTGTCTTCTGGGCAGCCTCCCGGATCACGTCTTCGGAGATATCTTTTATAGTTATGTTCTGTGGCTTCTTTTTGAATGGGTTGTTTTTTATATTAGATGTGTTTTCACCTTCATTAGATAGGTACTTACGCAGGTAGAGGTTCAGAAGATTGAATCTCTCCTCTTCCCCAGGAAGTGGAAACTCAATTACTTCATCAATTCGATCCGTGATGGCACTGTCGAGATCCCCTGGCCTGTTAGTAGCAAGGACAAGAACCACATCTCTTGATTGGTCCCCCGTTCGGAAGAGCAGTGCATTTAAGGCGCTCCGTTGAGCTTCACTCATATGCATGCTGTTACGCCTGCATAACATCAGCAATATGTAAATGTGTTGTAAGATACTGCAAGTAGTCATCCTATCCATTTTGAACATTATGGTGTTGAGGATGATGAAATTTGGACCTCAGATAGCAAGCTAAAGGAAAACTATCATGCATTTACCCAGTTCTCGGAGGAAACAATAATTGTGACTTGAAACTATCTTTACTACCAGTAAAATGCCTTGCACATAGGTCAGCACCCCTTGGTGCTGTTATTAATACTATATTTTATATTTTGTATTTCAAAAAAAAAATTATTCGGAACAAATTTAGTTATTAGCAAATCCACACTTTTAGAAGGAAATTTGGAATACATTGTTCAAATTCCTAATGAAATTTGACGTAAGATAAATTTTTAACATATAAATAAAATTTAAGGTCCTCTTCTAACTGAAGTCGGCAGATTTTCCAAATGAATTTCACAAAGTTCCATTTGAATTCTCTCAGACATAACCTTAACTTATATTTAGGACGAAATTTTTTTTAATCATTCCCCTGAGATCAAAACCCTAGAAAGTACTCCAAAAAAAACCTAGAAAGTAAAAATATAGCAATCCTACTTCTCCATTTTCTTCGTTTGTGCATCTGCATGAATAGTTAGGTTTTCCTATACCCTCATGAAACACAATTATAAGATGACAAAAAATATGATATTCTATTTCAGATATGTTAGAGTTAACATAACTTACTCGCATAAGAAAGCATCAGCCTCATCAATAAAAAGCAGCAAACCTTTATTTGACTTTTTAGCCCAATCGAATATCTCATGGATTTTGGTAACAGCCTGAGCACCTAGGGGTGCAACATCTCCTCCTGTCATCATAGCATAATCCAACCACTGTGGTAGAATAATCAATAGTCAAAGCTAGTAACAAACTGATTAATGTCTTTTTCCTTCACATCAGAACCAAAAAGACAATAACAAGGACCATAGGGAAAGTTGCATAACTAATTTGAGGTCAAAAAACATATCAAAACAAGTTGCTGATGTAAAACATTATTAATTTCCAGTCCGTGGGAGAAAAAAGAATAGTAAAAGCTCTTGATAAAATGTCAAAACAAAAAGACATTTTTTTTAAAAATAAAAAACATCTGAAACAAAGAGACAATAACAAGGACCATAGGAAACGTATAACTAACTTGAGGTCCAAAAACATATCTAAACAAGTTGTTGATACAAAACATCATTAATTTCCAGACCATGTCTTCCCATGTGTTTCAGATAATTTTGTATGTTTTCTTCTAATTTTTGAGACATCATTGTACTTGGATACCATTTTTACAAGTAATGCAGGAGTAACCTTGATTTTTTGGGTCTCGAATCTGTGCACCCTGACCTAGAGGTGGAATGGCCTGACAAATAGACCTGCTAGAGCCGGCCCTAAATATATGTATATATGTATATAATTCCTGGATGTTAATATCATTTACCTAGGGTCCTAACTCAAGAGACAATGTTCCCGTTGCCAGAAATTTGATAGCTCATATTGAAGTTGGTAAGAGACATTTTTTTTCAGGGAAAAAAAGAAGACAAAGAAAATATGAAATAAAACAATGAACAAACACCATACCGATTTTCGAGCTATTTCCTTTGCAACCATAGTTTTACCGGTACCAGGAGGCCCATAAAACAACATGTTGCGAAATGGTGCCTGGTGAGTCCTGGTGTTTGCCGTAGCTCTAGCCAGGTGCTCTATTCTCCTCTTCAATGAAGGATGGAGGACCACATTTTCAAAAGCCTTTTTACCATCGGCAGGCCCTGCAGCTGTGGTGTATCTCGAAACTATGTTCTTAGCTTGGGACATCATCCCTGACCATGGAAATTTTCCAATAGATGATTCCCTAATAAGTGAAGGCTGCCCCAGTATCCGGTTAACATATCCCCATGTAACCCTAGCACCTTCTCTGTAAACATAATAAGACACGTCAAAATTATTCCGCAATGTTTTTCGGGTAATGAGAAAAGAATTTAAGTGTCAGTCAAATTGCACCAACTTTGTCCCTTATGCATCAAATGCACCACTTTAGATATAACTTGAATTCACCATATACAATAATTCATATTTCCTATCAAACAGTATGATGATGTACAACTAGTCTGCGCTTACTGCACAGTACTAAGAATGTTCATTAGAGTTAACTAGAGTAGATGCAGATACAATGAGGGTGACGTGGTGTTCAGAGGCATTGTAGCAACATAGAATAACAGTGTTGATTCAGTGACACAGAACTCTATTGCTAGTTGCCTGTCAGAACCCTTGCTTATTATTCCCACTCGGTGAGGTATATATGGAAGTGTATGGAAACAGAGAGAGAACAGAGAAACAGAGATAGAGAGAGAGACAGAGAGAGACCGTCAGAGAGTATTTGTATTTCAATTCTTCGATGCATTCTTCATGAAAACAAGCCTATTTATAGGCGTAATCAATGATCGGATGTGACGATTTGTTAGGGGCACTGGCCCGTTACAGATTGGTTGCATCGGTTGCAACCTACACAACGGATTTCGTTACAACAGCTAGCAAACAACCTACCAAAATCCTAGCAACACCTCCCAGATTCTTCTATGGGTGAAATGACATTTATCCTGGTATGTATTTTTCCCATTTTACTGTTGTACATGAATTCCCCTTTTTACCCTTCTCCTATAAAACACCTTTAGATGCTTCTTGACATTGCCTTCCTACTTAACGAAGTGTCTTCTAATGTCTAGGCTGAAACTTTGCAAATATCACTTGTAAGAACCTTGATGTCAAGAAATTAATATAAAAAGCTCAGTTGATAGAGTTGAATTTAGCTACATACATAAATCAGTTGTTAATGCCAGCTTCGTTATCGAGACCTTTTGCTAAGAAGGTATATTGACAATTAAATAGAAAATCTTAAACATCGCAAAGACAAGTACAATATCCAGCCAACAAAAGAAAGCAAAGTAAAAAAATTGAAATAATGCATACCTAGTTGTATAAATGCCTGCAGCTAATGCAGTAGCTCCTCCAACCGTCATAAGCAACTTATTCCTATCAGTCAATAATGCCCTAACACCCCCTATACAAAGTTTTCAAACAAAATTAAACTAGAAAAAAAGTAATGCCAATAACAGCAAAGCTTGAAATGACAAGAATGTGCAATTCTACAGAGCACCCACTCTAAACATGCAAATGAGATGTAGTTAGGAAGAATCAGGATCCAAAATGCAAAACCTTTGAACAGAGTGAAACTACAATTAACATTATTCACTACAATCAGTTCAAAAACATGCCATGATCCGGGGTGGGCTAGTACTACGGTATCAATACAATAAGAATATGAGAAAAAGAATGAAAATCCATAGCAAGATCAATATTTACATTTTGAGGGTTGTTCGGTGGTAGCAAAGCCTGTTACTTAGCAGCATACCTTCAATGTGACTAAAAGTTGTGTTGATTGCAGCAAGCCATTTCTCTCTTTCACCATTTATCCGTTCAACAAGCATTCTCCTATTGTGGTCCTCGGTCAATTTAGCCTCATGGGCCCGGCCTTCAGCCTCAGCCATGGCCTTAACTCGTATCGTTTCCCGTTCGATCTCAGCTCTCTCTTTCTCAGTCTGCCGTTGCTGAGCTTGAATCTGCTCCTCAGTAGCTCTTCTTGCTTGTTCTTTGCGTACAGATGACTCCTCTTGCATCCTGACTAGTTCAGCATTATGACGCCTCTGAGCTTCATGATCTGTCTGCAAGGTGAAACTCTTTGATGGTAAGGTGAAACTCTTTGATGGAAGTTTGTCGTCAATTCCATCTTTTTGCCATTTTCTTTTCAAACTATTTGCATTTTTAGATTTCTTTTAAGAGTGAAAGGGGTAAAATAAAAGTGTCAATGAAGTGTAGCATATTTGCACCAATTAATAATAACCTATTGTTTACTAATGATGTAGCAAAGAAAAGTTTCAAATCAACTTATAAACACATCATGAAGTCAAAACAACACACTTGAACAATTATACCTGCATTCTTTTCCTGGCCAGTTCGTCTTCATAACGAAGCATTTGAGCTTTCGCCTGTGCTTGTTGCTGCACTAGATTTCTTTGCTCTTCAGCTACCTTCCTCTGTCTGTCCTGCCAAGACAAATATTATAATTAAATTGAATATTTGAGAGTGAATATTAAGACAAATTCAAAATTATCCAAACAAGCTTAGTTCCATTGCCACCTTATACAAGCAATATCAGCTTTTAAACATCTCAATGAGGAGAACATCAATAATTATTGCTGCCGAAAAAAACTAAATGAAAATACAACAAGCACAATGAAGAATGTAGTCAAAACAAACAGGGTGTAAACGAAGAAAGTAGTAAAAAAATAAAATGACTATAATAAGGGTGTAAATAAAGCAATTACCTGGTAAGTTAAAATATTTCTAAAGTGGATTCTGAATGTTCAACATTGCAAGTACAAACATACACAGATGCCCTTAATTATTTATAAGAAGGGTGTAAATAAAGCAATTGCCTGGTAAGTTAAAATATTTCTAAAGTGGACTCTGAATGTTCAACATTGCAAGTACAAACATACACAGATGCCCTTAATTATTACAAAACCTTTGCTCATTCATATTTGAAAAGGTAAAAAAAACGCAAAGCCTTCACTTCATATGGAAGACCAGTAGAAAGTAATGACGATAATCAGATGTAGAGACGAATTCTTCAGGGAATGAAGTGAACAAGATTTCTTATCACTCACAACATCAATTTGAGCTTGAATTGCTTCATAATGAATCTTCTCCGCTGCTAAATCAGCTAACCGTGTCTGCTCCTGCTTCCTCATGACGTCGAAAACCTGGTGAATAGAAGTAATGAGAAGACAACATATCCCACAAATATGTATATCACTGATCTAGGTCGCACCACATTTTTAACAATTGCTTAGTACAATAAAAAATTTGCCGGCTTTATGGTGTATGTTCTTTCATACTTCCAGAAACAACACACGCCGAATTTGAACCAGTAACCTACAGCTCGTTTTCGCTTTATCTTTATTTAAACGGAGCATACCAACGTCATTTTCTCCCTGAGCTCAAAAAATTAAGCAATCAACAGGCTACTCCTGACTTTAAAACACCGAAAATGAAGGTAAATGCAAAACAAGCCTTAACCTCTTTGGCATGCGTAGAACTGTTGATTTCTCGGAGAGCTTTGGCACCTCTCTCCAAAGCTTCGGGGTCGAAACCGCCTTTCGACTCCTGCGATTCCGCTTTGGTATCGGCTTTCCCATCCGAAGATTGGTCGGGAATACTGTTCGACGACGAAGAAGAGGACGAGTTATAAAAAGAAGGGAAACGAAAAGGCGATTCAGCGTATACGATATTTTGGATCGTGGAGAATGAAGCGACTGTGGCAGCTATCGCAGCACATGATGATAATTTAGAAGCAGCCATGAATATAACCAATACAAAAAATAAGTTACGAGATTTGAGTGTTGAAGATGGAGAAATTGAATTCGAAGCGTCGATGTATCATGTCATCGTGTGGCTGGCGCCACCATAAACCCTAACCTCTAGGGTTTAAGCGGAATAATTTTGACTGTCCCAGACGCCGACGACCGTCCATACCCGAGAGAGGGAAAGAGGAATTTCTTGGCGAGCAATTAAAACTTGAAGAGGGCCCACCAATGGGCCTTGGTCACTTGGACACATCCAGTCCAGTCAATTAATTGGGCATGGCCTCTTCTCCTCTTCTCCACCTTCAAAATAAGTTCTGTATTTAAAAAAAAAAAAAAAAAAAAATTCCCTGACAATAATTTTCTTAAATTGAGTATTAATCCCTGATGACTATTTCACTAATAATCTGTCGGTTTATAATGTATTTAAAAATTATAAATTTTATATGTTCAGTTAATTTCAAAATTATAATTTTCAAATTCTATGTTATAATTTTAATTACTAAGTAATTTTTTATGCACTATCACAAATTTTACATCAAATTATATTTAAAATTTGTATAATTTTTTTGGGTAAAATAATATGTGATATGTAATTTATAGATGAATTACGTATGAAATTATTAAATAATTATTAAAAATTAATGAATTTGTTACAATTTGATACTAAATTACTAGCGGCTTACATTATTCTCCATTTTCCGCAAACATACAAATTTAAAAATTTTATTTACGAAAATATAATTAATTCAAATCAGGAGAATATATGCATCGCACTAGGATAAGAAATTACGATTCCATATGAAATTTAGTTTAGAAATTGAATAACAAATCTATTCAATAAAATTGAGGGATTTTGAGATTTATTGCTCAAATTTTACATAAATCTCCTTCAATTTTACTTTTTATAAATTGTGAATTTATATTTATTTCAATTTAACATAAATATAAAATTTATCAAAAAATAATAAATTAACTAGTATATAATTTTATCTAAAATTAAATTTACTATATTTTAATTTAAATAAATATAATTTTATTTACTGTACACAAATTTAAATTTATTTTCCCGACACTGCATTGAAATATGAATTTATAAATAAGCTTTGCAGAAATTATAAATTTGTTGCAAAATTTGTATTATCGTTTTCCGGACTGTAATCAAAAGAACAAAAAGCTCCCGCCACTTTTGGCCTTTTTATTTGGATGACGCGCGCAACTTTTCGATCACACATCCAAAAGCTTCTCCAACCTTCTACTTCAATGATTCTCAATGTGAATCGAATTTCATCCTCATTTCCACTTCAACCTCCTGTGGATATAGTTCTTCCCTTCCCTTAATCAATTAAATCTCAGATCTGTTTGACCTAATTTGAAGTTTTCTTTATGAACAGATGATAAGGGATGCTTCTTACAAGGTTAGTAAAACAGTACTTAACGCGCTTTCTTGTAATTTACTATGTCGTTCTTTAATTCGTAATAGTACCGATTAGTTATTCATTTATAGATTGATATCAATATTAGTGCATTCATACGATCAATTTCAGTTCAATTCGATTGTTTTTGGAGAATGGATTTGCTGGCAATAAATATTTTGGCAATTGTGGTTCTATTATCGATATGTTTAATTCTTTAATCGCGAGTTCTGATAATGGCGTTTGATCCGATTTCCATGCGTTTCGGAGGAAGAAAGATGGTTTAACCGAGTAATAAAGCAGGACTAATATATGCTTGATACAGTTACACTGCACTATAATTTAATCACGAGGTGCTAGGAAACATTACGAAGAAAAAGATACATAAAAGACGAATATGAAGATGGACAAAGACATAGCATGGGCAACACTCACGTCTTTTCACATCTATCAACTATTTTTGTCTCTCCTCCCCCGTACGGGGAGGAGTGATTTTCACGCATCTGTTGCTGATTAAGTCTACTAGTTGCATCTGACCTTCAGTTGATATAAAATATTTAAGGATACTGCAATATATATATAAAAAAAAAACGCATAAGAAGCAGTATTAGCTTGCACAAACACTAGAGATATATACATTTTCAGTACCTGACTTAAAAGATCCAAAACAAAACAAAACAAAATTACCAGTCACGAGTAAAGACAAACTAAAGCACAATTAAAAGTTAAAAAAACTAGAAAAAGACAATAAAATATCGAGTTGAAGTTGCAAGGCGAAGATCCAGTGTTTGTGCATTTTCAGTACCTTAAATACATTTTAAGTATGCGGCCAAGAGTTCCAGATAGGCAAGGAGAAGATCCAGTCATGACTAAAGACAAACTGAAGCACAATGAAAAGTCAAGAAACTATAAAAAAGACAAAAAAATTCCGAGTTGAAGTTGCAAGAGAATCCTGATCGAAATCTAAAAAGTGAGGCTATTGCTTCGCATCTAACATGTGGGCTGTTTGAGCTAATTAGCATAGGACCATTACTATACAATTTAAAACGTGTAGGATTGGATCTCATGTGGGCTTTCTTTGATTCAGGAACAGGATAAGAGACTGAATGGGAGTTCGGTCACGAAATGCCTTATTCTATTGATTTTGGATGTAAACATTAAGTAGTCAGGTGTGCAGGATATTAGCCTACTTACAGTAAGAGAAACTGATGGACCACAAAAAACTACGTTTCTTCTTGTTTGGTTTATTCTATGACCCCGCAGGGACAACTGGCTTCAGAGGATGGGAAGTGACAGCTTGCTATCTGACTCTGAGTTTTTATATGGTTATATGGAGATAAGGAGATAAAGATATCCATCATTAAGGTCAATCTCGTGCAATATTTTCAATCTAATGTCATTTTACTATAGAACGACTAGCTTTTTGCATTCCTCAAAATAAAAAAAAAGATTAGCTTTTTGTCATTATTTTCAAAAGCATTGCTGCCACGGCATTCAAAATGGAAGATTTAAGATTTTTTAAATTAGTATTATCCTGTATTCTTGTATGTAGAGTTCACGGGTTGGAACACAAAAATACTGAATGATGCAGGGAAGAAATGTTGAAATTGTTTTTAGCTTTGGGTAGAGTAAATTGTCCATTACCTGTGCTATTCATGCCCAATAATTTAGATGCCGTTTCCACTTGAACCATAGCTAGGATATGGGTACCGACCGGACTCAATGTCTTTTACATCTCTAATGAGTTTTTCGTAGTGCTTCTTGACTTCCTCTGCCGATTTCCCACCCACAGCCTTGGCAACATTTATCCAGCGGTCTGGGGTGTCCTTGTCATATACAGCAAGGGCCCTTTCAAATAGTTTGTTTTGCTTTGGGGTCCAAGAGGAGCTAGAGCTACGTGAAGAAGTGAGAGAGTTGGATGCCATTAGTGTAGCCTAAATAAATAAGTACAATTTACTGCTGTGAGAGAATATATTTATGGGATTTGGAAAATGCCACACCAAAAAGCCGGAAACCTGGTCAGAAGATGAATATGAAAGGAAAAATTAGTAGGTTGAGTGCTAACAAAAGGAAAAGAAGGAAAGGTAGGTGTTTCAGTCCAGGAAGGTGAATTGAAGTCAAGTTATGGTATGGTACAAATGCCACAGAAGGGAGCTCCTTATAAGCAGGAGGAAAAGGCTGGGCGTTTCAGCCAGTTGGGAGAATATATCCTCCAAAAGGGCAGAATATGGAGTGACCCGTTCCTTTAGGAACCACAAAATGGAGAAAGACAAGGAACAGCGAGTGAAAGTGAAGAATCAGTATCCACGGCTGGCTCTTTATTTTCTTAACCAAACAAGATTCTTGATTATATAAGTGGCAAGTGGGATTTCCCTTTTTTAGTTATTAGTTTGTGGATATAAGATCAGCTGCATATACTTTTTGCTGGTTGAACTTGTCTTGTTTTATCCTAAAAAATTGCATCAATTAAGCTCATACGGCAGTTCCCTTGGATTGAAATATCTCAAGATATAACTGGTTATTTTCATTTTCATAGTCCACGTTAGCGTGGCCTAGTAAACCCTGAAAATAAATCGAACTTGAAGGTGCTTATTGCTGGTCAGAAATTACTTGACTGCACGTCTTACCTTTCAACTGGTGTAAGATGGTAACTTTCCCAATTGACCCTGCTTATTGCTGCACCTTCTCATCTTGATATCAATTATAAGCCTCTTAGGATTGTTCTTTCCGAGCCCTGTTAGTTTCTGAAGATGGAATCTGTGGATTAAATTGGAGCAAGAGAAATAAGAGTTGTTTATCCTTTCACTAGCGTGAGGACCTGATCCGTGACTTTTACTGTAAATACCACTAAGCGAATTAAGACCACGCTCTAGAGACATTCATATACAAGGCATTTCTTGAAATTATAGCAGCTGGACTTTTGGATAAGGAGAAACTAGTTTATCTTGTAACCCAAAAAGTAGAAATAAATACTTTATTAATAAATAAAAATATTTTTAGTTTTATTTTATATAAAGAGATGTTTGCTCATATTTGAAAGTAAAAACAATATTTAAAATAATAAAAAATTATTTAATATTTGCTAGAAAAATGGTTTTATGTATATTTAGTTATCTATATAATACACTTACATGCTGACAAACATGTTTTTTTTTTTGTTTCTCTCCATATATTTTCAGATAATTTTTTTTCTGTATATATATATATGTTTCTGTATGTGCTTGAGGAAAAAAAGTTAGAAAATTTATCATTTATCCAGTGGTAACTTTACTACTTCTTTCTCTATTTTTGGAGAGGATTATCTTGGGGCCAAGTCTCCTTATCTCTGTTTTAAAGTTGATTTTGATTTGGAGAGAATTCATCTTGGGGGCAAGTCATCTTATCTGTATTTTCAGTGTTGATTTTGATGGCACAGCTTCACTTTTGAGTATCTTTGAGAATTCATATATTGGCCTTGACTGTAGGAAATGTTCAAAACGAAGAAATAGTTGCCCGATTGGCTACAAAATGAAAGAAAAGAAAATCAGCTTTACGTAAAATGATTTTGTAATTGAGTCTTTCGGTGAAGGGACTAAGTGCCTGACAATTTTTAGGAGGAATTTCATAGAATATCAAGAGGGTGTTTGAGATTTGTTTATTTGGTTTTATGAGTAGTTTTAAAGTATCTTACTCCAATATTCTCATTGGTAACAAAAAATATAGTTTGCTTATTATGTTCTTAAAAATGACTTTTATAATGAAGAAAATAAGCATTGCAATAATAAATTTTTTATTTTTAATTGTTTTAATCAAATTAGTTTACTTAATTACTCTTTTGATGTCCCTTTAAGATTAACTCTCTCTCTCTCTATATATATATATATAGACAAAACAACATAAATAGAAAATAATTGTAATAAAGATACTTTTTTATAAATAAAATTATATATATTTTGCAATTAGTATGTTACCTAAATAATGCCTAATTACTTCATTTTTCAAATAAAAATTTACATGGTTTTAAGTAGCATAAACTTCCTCCTTTTAAGCACTTTCACTTTAGATATCTCAAACACAAGCATGGATAGGAATGATCAGACAGTTGATTGGTGATGGGATAAGCCTGGTAACATTGCTACAACTGATAGACAATATTACGGTAATTAATAACTGAAATTGAAGAAGCAAGTCTAGTGCACCCTATCTTTCATTTTGAATCTTTCTCTTCAATTATTGAACACTCTCAAATTCTACAGAAAAAAATTGTTTTTGTTTGTTGTCTTGCTATTGACAGTAAACGCTTTAAATTATACAGCATGAAATTACTTTTGTCTGTTGTCTTGCTATTAACAGTAGCATAATAGATGCTTCAGGCACAAATAAATACCCGACTCTGACATAACAGATGCTATTACACTTACATGGTAGCTGCCCATGCCGTTCAGGTAAATAAATACAGTGATGTTGTATATGTATGTCTTTTTTTTTTAAATGTTTTCTTGTTTTCTAGATTTTCTTCCTTTGGGGCATGGCTCTCGTTCAACAGCAAAGCTGTAATTTTGGATAGACTCGAATTTTCTTGTGATAATTGACCATTATAGATGGTATTAGGCTTAGATTTATCTGGGACATCATACGTAATAGATTGGTGATCTAGTCTTTTTACTGGGATGGAAATAGTGATGGTTTGGCAATGGGCATTCAATTCAATGGTCGGCTTCCAAATCTTTGAATATCTTTGCATAGTTGAATCTAGCATCTGTGGCTCCCTTTTTTATGGTTTTTTTTTTTTTTTTTCTTTTCTTTTCTCTCTTTGAGCACATTATAGCTCTTGATTCCTCCACTTGAGATGATGCTATCCAAGATATGGACTAAATTTATCGCCAAAAAGTGTGTAGCTGCTTGTAACGCGAGGTATATTCTCAGCTTGAGAGATAATATCTTGGCAGATATGCTGACCTTTTGGAAGTGGAATTGTGTTATCTTGTCTTTGTTTCCACGCCAGAGTCTAGAAAATACTTTCTTGGCTAAAGTTTGCTAGTACAGAGTGTACAGAAAATTGAAAAATCCTCTTTTCTATAACCACTTGTTATATGCTTTATAAAGTTGCATTAAACTTAAGTTGATGGATGCTGTAATATAATTAAGCTTGATCATGTAGAGAGCTTGTTAGTTGAAATTTGCATTCCACGCCCATTGCTGGTGCTATGTTAAGCTCCTTTCTCAACTTGCCTAATGGTCATTATATTTATTTACTCCACTAATACATGGAAACGCAGTTGACATATTGTTGATTCTTTCTTGACTTGTTGGCTTGTAAAAAAGGAGATGGGTATAGGATTGGAATTTAATGATTGGATGAGAGAGACTTGCACCTTTGTGAAGGGAGAATATGTACCACCGATGGTGCTTGAAGTACGTATCTTTGTGATAAGTATATGGAATTTTAATCTCCTCATGTCCGCCTCAATTAAAAGTTCAGCAATTGGATTCTTGAATTTTCGTTGTAGAGACTTGGTTAAGTTCCAATTTTTTGCAGTTAAGTGGATTAATTAACAAATTTTTATTGATCAATTAATATTATAAAATATTTAAGTATATTGTAAAATGTGAAAAAATAATTTCATAGTATGATATCTCTAGTAACAAACACAATAAAGAGCAAAAGACATTTTCACTGGTTTTGAATATATTCTGATAAGTTGAGAGTGATATTTGTTGATTGCTACAAGTTTGTTTGGGGGCTAACATACCACAAAGTTTTTCAATAATAAAGGGACTTCTCTTTTCACTTTTGGTCCCGACATTAGCCGGTATAATCATGAGAACCACTTTTTCATAGGGACATCCTTGAAGGAAATCTCCGAATGCCCCCAAAAGAGTTGCGATTTTATTTGCAAGGATACGAGTCAGTAGACGTATGAGGTTTCCGCACCAATCAAGTGAATTGCTATGCCCTTGTTGTTAAATATAGGTTTTATTCGACGTAAATTTATTTTATTTTTTAGGTATGTTAAAAGAGCTATTAACTATTAAAATGTAATATTCAAAGATGATAATAAATTTGTGGCGTGAATATGTTTGGATAAGATATCATGCAATTATTTGAAGAGATTGAGAGACATGACTTGTATTTGTTATGTAAGCTTAGATGAAATCAAATTGGACTCACTAAAAATTAAGAACCACTTATTCTCGTTATTATTCTTTTATATTTTATCTTTGAAAAAAAAAAGAAAAAAAGTAAAAGTTATTCAGAGATTTTTTTTTTTGAAATCTGCAATTTAAGTGTTAAATGAGACTAGTAAAATTTTCAACAACTTCACACAATAGCTGTCGGACATTTAACATATGTGCTAAAGACGTGCAAGTTTGAGTATATTATTGAGTATGTTCTAAATTTTAATATTATTACTGGTTTTAATTAATTTGTATTTTATTTAAAAGTTAGAATTTTGACATCTTTTAGAATATAAAATTTTTCAATTTATGGGTGTACTATAAAATAACGGTGACCAACTGATAATATTTGATTTAGTAAGAATAAAAATTTGTGTATTATAAAATAGGAGTGACCAACTTATAATACTTGATAAAGTAAGGTTAAAAGTTTAACTTTTTAATATGTTGGTTCAGTTACAATTATCAAATTAAGTTTATTTCAAACTTTATTTGAGAGTCAAAATTAAATTTCTTTAAGGATATAAAACTCGTCATTTTATTAGTGTATTATAAAATATTAATAAATAATTTATAATATTTGATTTAACAAAATGAATAATTTAATTTATTAATATATTTGTTGAATTATAATGATTAAATTGAATTTATTTTCAGTGAGTCATGAATTATTTAAATGAAAAGAACATTATATAGCGAGTAATTTTTCTTAATAAGAATAGTCATAACAAGATAAAAGTTCGACTTACCCTTATTTCTTTTTTATTTTTAAATTGTTGATATTGGACTACAAGTTTTGGCCTTGTATCTTTTCTTGCTTTTGTACTTCAGTTCTTCTCTTTGTATGATGAGGGAAATCCGAAGATTTCCGCTGATCCACTGGCTTTCTTATCTAAGATCAATTGTCAGCTTTTTTTGGGTTAGCCATTTAAAGAGCTTCACAATTCCAGACTAAATGGTCCCAAGAGGCCCATATGCCATTGAGCCTAACCGCTTGGGCAACCCAAGCTCTTCACTTTTGTTTTTTTTTTGTTTTAATAGAGAATCAGAGATTTTTAAGGATTGGAAACTCTTTTATGGCTTTATTGTTTGGTTCCAGACAGTCCGTAGTTCTATATGTGTATTATGCCGTTGGTCAGAGCATCTCCCCCCTGGAAGCAGACTTTCTGACTTTCATGGTTTGGAAATGTGTTTTGCCTTCAAGTAAAAATAATGAAAAGAAAATTAATCTCTTGCATGCTCATTCTCAATTCACTTTGTTTAAAGTAAAAATAACAATTCATAAAGAGAGGAAGAGATGGCAAACATAATGAAAAGAAAATCGAGAAACAGAGAAATGGAAATGAAGAAGGAAGAAGAAAAGAGTAAAAAAGAAGGATGAAGAGAAGACAAGCCCAATTCCATGATCTAAAACCCAAACCGGCCGAACCCAAAATGTCCACCGTAGATTTTTAATCTCTAAAACTTAGCTTAATCCCATTTTCAAATCCAGCCCATCCCCTTCTTCGGCTCAAACGGCGCCGTTTGGGATCAACTTCTTCCTTCTCGTCGATAGAAGGCATGTTCAGGCTGGGGGGGAAAATGAAAAAATCGAAAGAGAGGGGGCAGGTGAGATGGGCTGACAGAGAACTGATGATGATAGTTGAGAGCTGATGACTCAAGGTAGAAAGATAAGACGAGTCCAGAGAGCAATTTGCAAAGAAGAAAGAAATAGAAGAATGGCGTCGGTTGATGAAGAAAGGAAGAAGGGGGGGACCGGGTGATTACGTGACAGAAGAAAGGAGCAGCAGAAGATGAGGATAATCGTTTATCCGGAGTGGAATGCTGTGAAAGAACCAAAAATACAGAGAAGGGACAGAGACGAAGAAAAAAAAAAAAGAGTGAGAAAGAAAAGAAGAGAAACAGTGAGCAGACAAAGAGCAAGAAGAAATCAAGAGCAAAGAGAGGAACATCCAGTGCCCGTTGAGTGAAGGAAAAGGTGGGTGTGTCGAGGAAGAGGCGAGTCGTCCTTCCTCTTCTCGGCAAAGCAGTGGAAAGAAGACGGATCCAACGCAGAAGAGGAGTCGTGTTTACACAGGGTTCTTTTGGTAAAGGAACTGGAGCGAGCCCCAGATTCTGTTTGGGATATGTGTATATCCCAATCCTTCTTATGTTTAATACGAACGCCTGAAATAGTTGACAATAAATGAAATTGATTTTGAAGCTTTATGCTTGACGAAATGATGTTATCCAAGCTAGTTAGGATATTTTAAAGTGTATCAATGACCGAATTGATTAATTTGGGGATTCTTCTCTGTTTCTTTCCTGTAATCTCATATCTCTAATGACACCCTTGATTTGGAGTGAGAAGAATGATCCTTAGGTGTTCGCATTCAAATTGAATGAGAATGAAAATTAATGTATTTCAAAGTGTGGTCGAATCGATTCGTCGCAGTATCATCTAAGTAATTGTTTCGCATTTAGTCTCGATATAATGGTATCTTGATGTTCCTTAGTATGTAACATGAGTAAGGAGGGGCAAACATCTAGTAAGTGATGCCCGGAGGATTATGATTCAAAATGCAGCTCAATTGGATTCTTTTTTTTTTTTTTCTCTTCTTCGCTTTTAAATATATTTCCTAATAATTTCATCGTTGGTCAATTTATCTACAATCAATTAGTAAAATACTAATTTCATGTTAAATATTGGAGAAAATCTTTTGATGAAGCTTAAGCTCCTTTTGTAGAGGAAATAAAAGTAAGAGAACAATTTAAGAGTTTAGAGTGAGTACAGGGATACAATTTTTATGTCTCATATTCTATAATATATGAAGTTATAGTTAAACTTCGATTGGTACT